GTGACCTCAGGCTAAGTGGCCAAATGCAAAAGAGCCAGAGTAAATTCTCCTCAAGCCACCTTGGCACCGGGTCTCAGTGAGAATCCACCCAGTTACTATTCCCACGGTGCCAGTCCCAGTAGCCCTGTTGCTTCAGGCCACAGCTGCGGCTTCTAGCCAGGCTCCTGCTTCTGCTCTTTTTTCTCTCTTTCACTGTTCCTTCAGGGACCCTGGCCACCTCTACTGGGGCCAACTCTTCCAATGTTCCCTAGAAGAATGAGTGGAAGTGAAGAGAAAATTTCTTAGGGACCATCATGGGTCTAACTCTGTCCTTTGTCTGTAGGAGGTCCACAGCCTCCAGCATAAACTTCATAGAATGGGACTCCAGATCCCATTGTCTTTCTGAATTAAACCCCCTTCTTATTCTGGGGCCTACCTGATGCTCACCTCATTCTCATCTCCTGTCTCCCTATCTCTTAGCATCTCCCACCAAACTGCTCCCTGACTTTTCATGGCTGTGTGGACTTGCTTGAGCACAGGATTTTCTGGGTGGGTGAATGGATGGAGGAATGAATACCTTTTAGTATGATTGTTAGAAACACAGATAAACTTGATGGTGGTCAGGGACGTTTTCCAAGGGATCTTCTGTTGGAACTTGGCTTAGGAAGATGAACACTGTCCACAGCTAGAAGGACATGTTGAGGGAGGAGTAGAGCCAGCATCTTGGAGGGCATTGAAAATTGCAGGAGAAAGTTGGGGTGCAGGGACACTAGGCTTCCAACCCTGCAATCTTTTCCTTGTCTGTGATATTTAGATATGCCGCTGAGCCTTGGCTTCTGTGTGTACTTTGTTGGCATTTGGGGAAGGATAATTTTTTGGAGGGTATCAACCCTGGCATTCCACTCCGTGTCTGTGATATTTAGTTATGTCACTTCACTGACTTAAACCTTGGATTCCTCATTGGTGAAATGTGTACACTAAAGTCTACCCCACAGGACTTCTGGAAGATGAAGTAAATAACAGACAGGAATGCCCTGTGTGGCCCAGGGTATGCCTTCAGACAGGTTTGGATATATCCTGAGTGTCTCCCCAAGGACCATGTGCTAGAACTGGATCCTCTGGAGAGCTGTGTTGAGGGATATGTCCTATGGGCTGAAGATGGATGCCCCAACATTACAGAGAAACTTTGGGTGACTGTCCAGGTAGCTAGAAGTCTCTGTCAATTCTAAAGTTTATATTTTTATCTTTCTGGGGTCTTTGAAGACAGATAGTTATGGTTATGATTTTCTTTAGTTATGATAAAAGATAAGTTACATATAAAAATTTAGACTCACAAAGATAGAATAGATGATAGAATATTTTCTTTAAATTTTGCCAAATGTTAGTGGATTAAATATTGTTAACTATACTTCTTGCTTGATAGTTTTTTTTTGTTACATATATTGTTTTACTATGTTAAAGTTGAAACCTTCATTTTTATTTAGACAGAAAAGAGGAGATGATGGGGGATGTCCTTCTGTATGCTGTGAATGTATGTTTCTCTTATTGGTTGATGAATAAAGCTGTTTTGGCCCATGGACAGGCAGGATGTAGCCAGGCAGGAAGTATAGGTGGGGCTACCAGACCAGAAGAATTCTGGGAAGAGGAAGTAAAAGGGAATGAGTCTCAAGAGGAACTCCATGTAACTTCTGAGGAAGCAAGAGACTGGGTCATCACCAGTAAGCCAAGACCATGTGGAGATACACAGATTAATAGAAATGGTTTAATAATTAAGAGAGACCTAGCCAATAAGAAGCCTGAGCCATTGGCCAAACATTTTAGAATTAATAGAAGCCTCTGTGTATTTATTTGGGACTGAATGGCTGTAGGACCGGGTGGGACAGAAACTTTTGTCTACAGATCTCTGTGAGTTTGAAGTCAACCTAATTTACAAAGTGAGTTCCAGGACAGCCAAGGCTATGTAGAGAAACTGAGTCTCAAAAAAACCAAAATGAAAACAAGGAAAAGGAAGAAATGAATGAAGAAAGGCAGGCAGGCAGGCAGGAAGGAAGGAAGGAAGGAAGGAAGGAAGGAAGGAAGGAAGGAAGGAAGGAAGGAAAGAAGGAGGAAAGGGAGTTCTCAGACTCTTAGGCTAGCAGGATGACAGTAAAAGGAAAAATAAGGATTTGAACCCAGCTGAAACCATTTCTTCTAGTCCATGATGGTAGCTATCATTTAGAGAAACTGGTCTCTGGATTGGAATTCTTCTTTAACACATTTGTTCTGCTGTCAGGGGGAAAATTGCATTTGCTTTTGTAAAGACCATAAAATCTGCACTGGAGATATAGCTTGATGGTAGAACACTTGCCTGGCATGTATGAAACACTAGGTCTAACCTCCTGCCCTGTAACGCTGAAACAAACAGTAATAAAATCTAAGTGTATCAGTGCAGTAAGACAATTCCCCACTAAGAGAAGATGCAGGCCTAAGCCACAGCTGATCCTTACTGTGGGCTCCTGGCTGAGTTAGAAACAGAGACCAAATCTGTGCATTCAGACCAAGTTCACTCCTTCTTCCTAAAGTGGAAGGTTCTGGAATACCAGCGCCCAGGCTCTACATCCAGACGCTTCACCAGCTTTGCTTGGAGAAGTTACATCACCAGTCTATGTTTGAGTTCCTTTATAAATTGGATCATGATAGCTATTCCCTTACCAAGTTCTATTTACTGATGAGAGACTGTAGTAAAAGTGTGTGTGTGTGTGTGTGTGTGTGTGTGTGTGTGTGTGTGTGTGTGTTTGTGTGTGTGTGTGCCCACAAGTGTGCATGTGTGTGAGCACTTGTGTGAGCAAGAGCATGTGTCTGCTTGGGACAGTACTTGGCATTTTATAAAGCACTCCAACATGTTAATTATTCTTCTTTTATTCTTGGCTTTGTGCCACTTGGCATCTGTGGCCATATCTGATTTTGTTCTGATAACCTGAGGGAGGAGCTTCCTCGCTCCACAGAAGAGGAAACTCACACCCACCTGGTAGAAAGAGTCAGTTAGGAGCACCAGAGGGAGTATGCAGTGTGCCTCTGCAGGGACTTGCTGCATCTTTCGGCACGCCTTGGGATCATTTCCTGGTATGTTCAGGATGGTTGCTCAGTGTGAGAAAAGAACTCTCAGAGAGAGTAAAGGGAGAGACGGCACATTATTCTCTGGACATACTGAAACTGTGTGGGAGGTTGTGGGGAGGTGGACTCCCCACTGTCCCTTTTCATCTCACACCCCTCAGACACTTGCATGTGGCTGCTGACTTGCAGAACCCCAAGACATGTGTCTTTCCCTTCAAAGCCTCCAGTGGTGCTCGGACTCAGGTCCAAACATTCCCACCTAGTCTTTCCGTGCATTTGGATCAACCCCAGCTTGGGTTCCTCATCCCAGACTCCCAGGTGTATTCTGGGTCTGAAACAGAGTTGCTTAACTTTGGCTGTACATGGGTTCATGTGGGGAGACTGCGTTTATGTTGATGGCTGGATCTCATCCCAGAGATTCCAACAGAGTTGCTCTGGGCAGGGGGTGACCTCAATAGCAGGACTTTCTAAATCGTCTGGTATTTCTTATATGAAGTAAAAAGCTGAGTGTGCCTGATATGCCTGAGGCGAGGTCTCAGTGCCATCTCTCCACACTTCCTTAGCAGCCACTGCCTGTTCAAAGCTCTCTTGAAAAGGCTTTGTTAGTCTCTCAGGATAGCTCAACCACTCTTCATTTCAACCACCCACCCTGACACATTCTTCTATCAAAAACCTCTGCGCTTTCAAAACAAATGACTCAGCCCCAGCCAATCAGCCAGCTCTTTATCTCGATTTAGTTCTTCTTCATTGATTGGTTGGAGCCAAGTGGTTAAGCCGCACACAATGCCCTCCTGGAGATGCCAATGAAAAAAAATCGAACAGATGGAACGATCCATTGTTCCATCTCCAGCCTGGGGGCAGGATCATTTACCTGCAAACCTCTCACCTTCTAAAGCCTCCACTCTCTTGGTTAGATCTTACACAGACGTTCCCACCGATGTCTGTGGGATGACACCCCCTCCATTCTTCCATCAGGAGATGTGCCATCAGCCTCGGCTGCTTCCCGGCCTCGTCTCCCCAGACATCCTCCTGCAGCCACGCTGTCCCCAGGAGCTTCCCACACTCTGCACATTCGCTGTCATCATTGCCTTAAATACCTTTTTCCTCCCCAACATTGCAAGGCTTTACTCACCTTCGAAACTCTAATTTGGATATTCTGCACTGCAGCTTATCTATCCTGCCCTCCCACTCCCAGCCCCTCCCAACCCTTTGTGATGCTCTGGTCCAGTATTTACCTCAATGCACCGTGTTCATCTGAAGAAGGGTTTTTGCAAGTTTGGATCTATCTATCTATCTATCTATCTATCTATCTATCTATCTATCTATCCATCCATCCAACTGGTAGGACAGAGGCGACCTTAGCAGGTGCAAACTGAGAGCTATGGGACTGAATCTAAGTCCCTGCCTTCCTATCTTTACCAATCAATTTTCAAAACACCTCAAGAAAATTAAGACAAGTTTTTTTTTTTTTTTCTTCATCACCATGTAGAGGCTTATGTGTATTCACCTGCCATGATGCAGTCTTAACAAGAACACATTAATTTGCTTGCCTGTGTATGTAGATATGAACAAACACCACAAATCTGCAATAACAACACAGGAGATATTTCATCTCTGGATAGAATATTTTCCAAGGAAGGGAGCCTATTTGGTGAGTGGGAGAACGAAAGGGCTTGAGGGAGTGAATCTTTTGCTGCTTGGGATCTTGGGTTGGGGTAACTTGGGGGACAAGGGAAGGGAGATCACCTATTACCTTCTCCGGAGCAGACAGCTGTAAATGATTAACCTCCAAGGGCGTGATGAGAGGAACAGTCTGGAAGCCATCCTCCACCGAAGGCGGCTTGGCTCCCTTCTCTCCAGGGTTGCTGTTCAGCTTCACCATACTTCTGTTTTTTTTCCCAGACCTAAGGCAAGCAGCAGAATTCTGGTTACAGCAGGAACATGAGGGGCTGACGACAGTCCACTACAGCTCCCTTCCAGCAGCGTCCAATCTGGTGCTGGCCATCAATCTCCCACTCGATTTCCTGATACGATTCCCATTGTCCAAGGAAACTTCATTAACCAGCAGAGTGTGCCAACTGCCCACCGAGTTCACCAACCCTCATATTAGGGAGCAGTAAAAAAAAAAAAGGGGGGGGGGGAATTCCAGACCTTCATTTAAAAAAAAAATAGAAGCTTAAAAAATACCAAGACACCATGGGTAACATATCCTTAGAACCCCACTGGCAAGCTTGTTTTCAGCACAAAAGGAAACTCCATTATTGTGGGTCCCCTGCAGAAGGATACATTTCACCTCACCACACACATTGCTATTTTGCCTTTTCTTCCCCGTCTCTAAAACACAATTAAACACATTCAATATCTCTCACTGTACCATTTTAAAACATAATATATAGATTGTACGTGAGATCCGGGTTTCTAAATCAGAAAGGGACTGTGTCGAACCTGATATCGTTATTCAGCCATGAAATACCTCCATTTCCTCAATAGCCAAGGGCTATTTTTTTTTTCATGGAAAGTTAGCAGCCCCCATATTGCAAGATTGCCAACTAAATAAACAAATCACTTTTATTTCTCTCCAGCTCCCTTTGAAGTCAAGCATTGCTTTCACCCCACCCTCAAAAGCCCAGCACAACTGAATTTCTCCTGTCAATCCTGCGGGTGGGACATAATTAGACAGAGCGGGGTTGTTGTGGGGATGACAGGGTGGTAAGGGCTGGGAGCAGGCTGGGGAGTGGTTACAACAAAAACAAATGCCTACTTACTGTGCAGCACTGGTGGGGGTCAGAGCAGAGTCAAGCCAATATGTAGAGGAGGAGGACAAACAGGAGTCCTCCCTCCACAGCCCGAGCTCGTGGCGCTGAGAAAGCAGCCCTTGCGTGCCTGGATCCGGAGCTTCTGAGAGCGAGGCGCCAGCGCTCAGAGAAGATCTCGGCAGCTGCCAGCCTGCTCGCCTGCTCGCGCCTCCCACCGGGGACGGCTCCCACACCACCTGTCATCTGGCACCACCTGCTGTTTCTCATGCATGGCCACAACCCCTGCATAGGACAAACGGTTTCAAAAAAGTGGAAGGGATTTTGGTTATGCCTAAAACCAAAAATCTGGCTTTTAAAAATTATACAATTATGTAAAATGTGATTCTTCAATCTTTGGTTGTGTGTGTGTGGTGGGGACTGGAAAAGCAGGCACTATTTTTTTCTTTTTTAGGGGAAGGGCTCATGTCTTACTAAAGCTTCCCTAACAATAGTCAATATTATAAAACAAAATGGTTCAAAACACCTGCTTTGGAGTTAGAAGACAAAGGAAACTGGCAATTTTTCCCATTTCTCATGCAGTAACACCTTTCTCGTCTCTTTCAAGCTTCCAGCCTCACGTGCAAAAAAACGTGGTTTCTGACCGTGATTTGGAAATGGGGACCATAGGCAGTGTGGACACACCAGCACAAAAACACACAGTATGAAGTAGTGCATAAACTTGAGCTGTTTGGCTCACAATTGCCCCAGGCTTGTCCAGGTCAGCTAAGGTCACAGACTTGGAAAAGACCAGAACTGGGATTTGAATGCTGACTCTCTGTCCCCAAAGTCCCTATCTAGGACAAAATATTAGATGCCACCCAGACTGATGTCCAGAGTGGGAGGAGTGTCGGCCCTACCAACACTGGCTCTGTGGCTCTTGCACATTGTACATCTGCTCACTAAGCCCCTGCTTCCTCATCTCTGGTTGAGGATAACATTTTCTTTGCAGAACGGCAATGAATATGGGAAGATAATATGCCCATGGAAATACCTTTGACTTGTGAACAGTGTTCTGAATGCCTAGTCCAACCATAGAGATTGTTCAAGTCAACTGCCAGTGACATCTCCCAAGCGCGGCTCAAATCGATGTTGGCTGTTCATCACCAGCTGCAGTGCCATTCCTATGTTTCATGACCCATCTGTCCTGGTATCGAGCACCCTCCCCACTTTGACTTTCAGATATCTTGTTCTGTTTGCAAAACGTCACCCTAGTTAGTTACAAGGCACAGAAAAGTGTGTGTCATTTGTACCGTTTAGAAATAAAATGTGTGTGTAATGAGATTTATGAGGCTGTGAAAGCTGACGCACATCAGGGCTGCACACATTAAGAGAAGATGTGGTATGTGAGAGGGAAGTATTCTAAAGAATATTGGTCTTCCTTCCCCTTCCTTCCAAAGATCTCGATGACTTTCAGGTTCGAGCATTGTATGAGGCCAGCACAATGTAATCAACAACCACATGTTCAACTGAGAACATTTTTATCCAATCATAGTGCTGCTGTTCCAAAATACAAGGAAATACCCTATGATAATTCTTGACTGATTGACAAGGAAACACACACACACACACACACACTTTTCAAGCCAGAGGTCCCCAGAGTTTAGTAAGGTCCAGAAAAGGGCTTGTCTGGAGGCAACGAGAAATCTAGGTTTGGTTACACATGAGGCTAAAAGATAAGTTGCAAAGAGGACTGTGATGGTTTGAAAGAAAATGGCCTCCAAAGGAGTGACACTATTAGAAGTCAGGTATGGTCTTGTTGGAGGAAGTGTGTCACTGTGGCGGTGGGATTTGAGGTCTCTTATGCACAAGATACCATTTAGTGTCTCAGACTGCTTCCTATTGCCTACAAGATGCAAGACTCTCAGCTCCTTCTCCAGACCCTTATCTGCCTGTACACTGCCACATCCCACCATGATGATAATAGATTGAACCTCTGAACTGTAAGATAGCCACCCCAATTTTGTCTTTTCCTTGTAAGAGTTGCTAAGGTCATAGTGTCTCCTCACAACAATAGAAATCCTAATTAAGATAAGGACTATGAGTGGAGTGATGTGTAGGATTCTTACCTTTTGTAGAATAAAGTTGAGGGGTTCCAAATAAAGTAGAATCATTCTGGTATTAAAAAAAATGTTGAGGGGGCTGGAGGGATAGCTCAGCCATTAAAGGCTAGGCTCACAACCAAAATATAAAAAATGTTGAGGTTGAAAACAAATACTATCACACCTTTTGATGAGGTTTTCAGTGTATGTGACACATAAGACAACTATAGTACAGAGTGTGGGGAAAGGAGTCAAGATGGTGTCAGTGGTGCTATGGACCATTTAGTGTGGGAAAGCTTTGAGTCCAAGTCAACAGTGAAAAGTTAAGTATGTCTATTGCAATCCTGGGACAGCCAAAAAGACACAAAGTTCTGTGTGTTTGTGTAAAATGATAACAATGCAATAGACAAATTGAAATAGAATAAAATAAAGTTCAAATAACCACAAAGAGGCAGAAAAAATAGAAACAAAAAGCTGAGAGAACAAGAGTAAAGAAATGAAATTGTATTTAAACATATTACATGTAAGTGGTATAAACAAACTAATTAAACATAGATTTGTCAACATGGAGGGGAAATAGATATGAACTGCACCCTAGCAATAAGAAACATAGTCCAAACAACAGTGTAACTAGGTCGGTACCTATACAGTGTTAGCATCAGCCACCTCTTCAGGGTCATTTAGGCTTGACCACAGCAAGATCAAAGTAATAAGCCTAAGACAAATGGGTAACAAAGTCAGTGCTCTGTCTGTCTGACCTCTAATACCAACTTACTGGGTCTTTCCAAACAAACAAAACAAAATCTGACTATACTGTTGCAGCAATGCTAAGAAAACAATTCATTAGAAAGGCCCATGGACTCCAGTGACCATTCAGAACACACAGACCCAGATTACAGAGGACATTCCCACCTCTCCCTTCTATCCCGTTTAGGGAACTAACCAGAGATAGAAAGAAACAGAAAACAACAGCATATGGCACTTGTTGTGGTGATCCCTGAGGCTTCTGACAGGCATGGCTGGTCTCAGCTGCAGAAGAACCCTCTGCATTTCTGTAAGAGGCACTGGGGTTCCCTCTGCAGCCTGCAATAGTGATGTGCAGTGCAGCTATGCATTCTAGAGGACAGCAAAATGGCATCTTGGTATGTCTAGCTGTTTAAGAACTACAAAGAAAACAGTTCAATAAAGGATCATTTGACAACAGAAAAGAGAAATGAAAAGAGGGTTTTAGAAAGACAAATGCACTGTGATGGTACCGTGTGGCTGTTTACTTCCACCAAGAACCTGGTTGGATTAAGAAGCACCCAGCTCAGCCGGGCGTTGGTGGCGCACGCCTTTAATCCCAGCACTAGGGAGGCAGAGGCAGGCGGATCTCTGTGAGTTCGAGGATAAGCTCTAAAGCTACACAGAGAAACCCTGTCTTGAAAAAAAAAAAAAAAAAAAAAAAAAAAAAAAAAAAAAAAAAGAAGCACCCAGCTCTGGGTGTGTCCTTGAGGGCTCCTCCAGAGATCCTCCCTGAATACCAGGGCGGGCCACTTTCCCATGAGCTGGAGTCTCGGAACAAGTAAAAGTGGAAAAGGAGAAAGCCAGCTGTGTGGGGCCAACTCCTCCCTCTGTTTTCTGCTTCCTGACAGCAGCTAATTCCCCAGACAGGACTCCTGCCAGGATGGATGGCAACTCCAGATCCATGAAGATCCATGAGCCAAAGTAAAGCCCTCCTCCCTGAAGCTGCTTTTTGTCAGGCAGTGAGCTGCAGCCATGAGGATATGATCCAACAGTGCCAGGCACAGCAGACCCCAGGGAGAGAAAATGACTGGAGGTAACAGGAGACTTGACCAGCTGATTCATTAAGAATGTGCCAAAATCTTAACATCTGTAAGACTAAAAAGTAAAGCTTCTACATAGACAACCCCGAACTATTAGATAAAGTGATTCCACTTGGGACTCGGTTACAATGGCAGATGCCAGTACAGCTGGAATGAATGAATGAATGAATGAATGAATGAATGAGTGTGGCACACAGAACATCAGCAATGATACATACAGAATTCGCTTCAAAGCCACAAATGCATTGGATGGCTAGTGACTTTTGGGAGAAGGGGGCAAGCTGTCTTCTGTATTTGTTGACAATTTCCCTGCATTTACCTATTAGGTGCCAGTATTATCTTTGAAGGTCCAATTTGTATTGACCAAAAAAATGCCTCTGGACATTAGCAAATAGCCTCTAGCAGAAGGCAGAAGAACTGCCAGTTGGAGGAAAAGTGAAAGATCCCCTGAGTATCTGTCAGTCCAGGCATGCCCTCATTTCCCAGTGGCTGGGAAGGACATGCAGCTTCATCTGGACACAGACAACCACCTAGGAGGTGCTGTGTAAAAGAATGAACCACTACACCCGAGCACACATTATTTTTAACTCTCCTTACCTGGCCAGTGACACAATGATATCAAACCAGATAAAGACAATATAATATAAGAACTTCACTGGCCAATACATCCAAAAATGTAGGTGCCAAAATCTTCAACAAAATATTAGGAAATCCAATTTAGACACAGGAAAAAAAAAACTAGGGATGTATCATGAATAATTAAGTGGGTTTTACACTAGAAATACAGTTAACTGAGAATAGTAATTTGATAAAAATTAGCATCCAGGGGCTGGAGAGATGGCTCAGCAGTTAAGGGTACTTAGTTCTATTGCAGAGGACCCGGGTTCAGTTTCTAGAAGTTAGGGGAGCTTCACTCCTTCAGCAGCACCTGCATGTCCATGGAACACATCAACTCACCTGGGTACATATACATACACATAAAACTAATTTATAACCCAGTCACAACAGAAAGAACCCTCAGGAAATCTAGTATAGAAGGGAAGTAAGGAGACACAGGGGGGATGTGCAGAAATCAGTCATATTTCTATGTGTTTACAACAAACAACCAGAAGCTAAAATGTTTTCTAAAAATATTCATGATATCTCTCCAAAGTGAGGAAATCCTGGGATTAGTTTAGCACACAGGATCTAGATGGCAAACTACAAAATGCGGATGAAAGTATTCAAAGAGCCAAATGCTTGAAGACGCAGCTGACCTGTGAATTGAACACTCATCACTGTAGCAATAATGGCAGTTCTCTAGGAATTGACTGATAGGTGAATTTTTATTATCATCTTCAGTATTATAATCACTCTAAAACATGTATGGAAAATCCAG